AACTGTAGTAAAAAGAACAGATTGGAGACAGCCGGAGGGGTATTAGGAAGAGCAATTATGAAGCTATTGTAGGAATCCAGATGATGGTAGAGATTCAAGATGGTGGTAGTATTGGGGCGCAGAACGACCCAGTCACGGAAAGTCAGCAAGTGATAGGTTTGAGTCGTAGGAGGAAGAATGCATAGAACTTGGGAATTGATTAGATAAATGCAGTGATTGAGGAGGTAGTGAGAAATAGGATTTGGGCTTAAAGATTTGAGTGAATAGAAGTATCATTTATGAGATAAGGAAAGTAGAAAGAAAAAAAACTGGAGAAAGTAGATTTTTGTAGTTGACAGAAGTATTGATTTCTGCCTTAAAATTGGCCTTCCTAACTTGATTGTAGGTTTTTCAGGACAGAAGCAGTATTTTTAGTGACACCTGTGGTCCATCTCCATCTCAAAGCATATCAGAGTATTTTGTACATTGTAGGTGATCAATAAGATTTTGTCTTTAATTCTAGTTTTCTGTATTAGTAATTCTACCAAATAGGAATATAAGCATTGACTATGTGGAAAAACTTAGTTAAAAAAATATATATTTATCTCTTTGTTTACTTAAACAATGTTATATTTAATAGATACTTCAGAGGTAGCATTTATTTCAGCATATACCATTTACTTCTATAACATGATAATAGATTGCTATATATTTAATAGATTCTGGGAATATTATATACAAATAAACTTGTTTTATAATAGTAAATGATTCTAATATTTATACTTTAATAAAATAATGTATATTCCAGCCCCTTTGGGATTTGGAAACTATTTTGGAGATTCAACTTTTTATATTTTTAAACTTCAATATTAGTGGTTATGAATGTTAAGGAGCTGTTTTATAAAGCAATGTAGTACTTGCTCAAGATCAGGAATTTGGAGAATGCATATATAATCCTGGGCAAATCAGTCAACTTTCCTTAGACCTTGTTCTGTACTGTACATATATTGAGGGAGGGAAGGATAGAAAGATAGAGACTGGTAAAATATGAACAACAGGTGAATGGTGAATGTAGCTGAAATTTGTGTGTGTTCGCTGTGTTTGTCTCTCAACTTCCTATGGGTTTTAAATATAAAAATGTCTTTGACACAATTATTTATGAAACTTCTTTGCAAATGCAAGATCATAAGTGGGTTTTATTCCATGAGAATATATTTTGGACACGTTCGCAGCAAAAATCTGTTCAAATGCAGGCATAAAAGAGGAAATTATACAGCGTGCAGTGTTAATTGTTTAACAATAATCATTAGTAATGTGATCTAAGAGTCTCAATGATGTTTCCCGCAGTCTAAAGCATATCAAGTCTGAAGTCAGTGATTTATAATCTTCTTTCTATCTTTGTAGTTTCAACTATACTAGAAATTCATTTTTAATATTATAGGAAATATTTTATAAATTTCAATGTTTTCTTGAATTTAAAATACATATGGTTTTAGATAAAAGCAATCTACTGTCACCCTGAAATACCATTACAGAGAGCTGGTGAGGAGGAATCATGATTATATACTAGAAATTATTATATAGAGAATAAATACATTACATAATATTTTTGTATTCACTATGTATTATTTGCATTTGTGTATATTACTGTATATAGCATCCTGTTGGTGTATTTTCTTCTGCACAGACTTCCAAGGCCACTAGATATTTGCAAATGATAAAGTTGTATGAGTTGATATTGTGCTCGCTGAATTTTATTTTGTCAGAATTTGGTAAGAGTAGCCCATGTACTAAAAATCTATTTTTAAACTGTGATATTTCAATATTCATTGCTACCTTTTATTTTACAAAAAATAACTTGCTCAGTACCACCTTTTAATTAAATACCACTTTATTTTTTAACATGAACTTACACTTTTTGTTTTGTTCTGTTTATAATGTTTTATTGTTTCTTGTTTGTCAATTTCTTTTTATTTTCCATAAAATACACCCTTACATGTTCTGGAAAATATTGTTCATTGACACTGTCATTTCCTTAGTAGGTCCCTTAGACATTTATTCAGGAATAGTAAGTTCAAGGTCATTTCACACTTTCCCAGCACACCAGCGAGTAAAATCAATGAATTCACTCACTAGTTTAATACTTTTTACTGTCTTCATAGGCTCTCATGATTTCCTTTTCATAGCAATACCTTTAAATTTACCTGCTTACTTCAGTGGTGACCTTCAAATGTCCTTCAAGGAACTCTATTCATTACTTTTGTCTTTGGCAATCTATGTTACAGTCATCTCTCACACAAGAGTAGATAAAGTTATTTACCCAAATTAAGTAAAGGAACTAATTTAGGTCATTCAGTGATAATTAAAACTCAGTATTCTTATATACAAGGGTGATTCAAATGTGCATTTTCCTGTTTTTGTGACTAAGTAAATGAAATCCTTTTGTGAGTGAATACTGAGTGTGATGTCCCCTTGTTCTAAGGATGGTTGAAAGCCTCTATCATTCTAAAACTGCTTTTCTCTCTGTTTTGTGACTGTTTGAGGTATTTCTCAAAGACATTTTCAGAAGTGTCAGACATCATAGTTTGGTTATTATTGTATATCTCTTTTCAAAGACCTCATAAACATAATGATTTCAAGAGATCCCCCAAATTAATTTAAAGTTAGGATTGATATTGCCATGTGCTAATAACCTGATCTTTTAGGAAAACTAATTCCTGAGCAGAAGCAGGAACGTGTACCCAAATCAGAAGTAGAAGAATCAGAAATAGTTAATAACTAATACTAACATTTCCTTAGGTAGCTCCACTACACAGAATTTAAGAAAATCACTTCATCTTCCTATATGTTGAGATTAGGGAATAAGAGGACCATAAATCAGTTATAACATATTTGGTAAAGAAAATAATAAAAACAGTGATTCTGGGTAATTATATATTGAAAAATTTGAGATTAGGACCTCATGCCATCTAGATCAATTGTATCCTACTTTTTCTGTAATCCTATGTGTCTTACAAAATCATGTGCTTGAGCACAGAGGTGGGTTTAGTTTTATGGTAATAATTACATGATTTTATATCAGTATGAAGTATGCTTTGAAATACTCTCAATGTCCTTAGCACATGCTAGGATTCTTGGTGCTTTACGTAACAAAATATAATGTTTTTGTAAGAATGATTAAGTATTGCCAGTTTGACTATATTTGATTAGGAATAAAAATGTGTATTTAACAAAGGTAAGAAGTATGTATTAGTCATAGGGGGATTATATCATACTATTATGCATAATAGTAATTAGTTTATGAATGTATTAAATATATTAATATTATGAAAAATGGTAGAGTTCCCACATAAAAAAAGTATGTAAAAAGTATCTATTTTGTTCTTTAGAATTGGAAATTATGAGGTGAATCATTAGACAGTTCTGCATTTATGCAAATAATTGATGGAGACCCAGCATCTCGCAGCTCCTATTCTAAAACCTTTTTATTATGTGATGTCATCCTTTCTTATGATAAATTATTTTTAGAGTGTATTCACTTGTAAGACTTCCTATGTTGTTTACAAAAGAGGGCATTCTTTAATCACCACAGTGGAGCAACTCATATGATTGGGCAGCTCGTATAGTATGTGGGTTATTAGTCCTTTTAATTGTGTGTTGAGTATGTAACGGATGACCTAGAACGGCCATAGTATATCACTGTTTTGATATACTTTATAGTTGCCAAATTATTACTGTATACTTCTGCTATATAAATAGATTAGGCTTAAATTAGGAATTGTAGGGCTATAACTAGAAAGCAAATCAAAGTATCAATTGCCTTATCCAAACACCAAAGAAATATGACAACTACTATAATTAAAATATTTTACTTACTACTGTGCATTTTGATGGCTTTCTAAAGAGATTTTCCTAACTAAAAACTCTCATAACCAAAACTTTCTCATTAGTCAGAATTTATATACTGCATAGTTCCATGTGCTATAAAGAATAACATTGGAAAAAAATTGGTGAGGATGGGAATTCAAATATTTGTAGGATTTTTTTTGTGTGTAGCATATAGACATTGCATTAGCTTCTCTGTGTGAAGTCATTTATGATATACTACACTGGGGTTACACTCCTTGTGACTTTATTTTTGGAAGCTTAGAAAATTAAATTATGTGGTTTCATAGTTTATGTATAATGTGCATTGTCTTAGTTTGTGTGTGTATATGGATTTTGTAGGCATGCCTATTTATCTAACGCTTAAGACATGGAAGCACATTTAAAACTTTTAAAGATGCTAGAAATAACTTAATGATGATTCTGTTTAAATAATCAGGGAAGTTTGTCCCTAGTAGGATAATAAAAAAAAAAAATCTGAGCAAACACACCTCCACTCCCACCCACTTTCACACAACCCATCCATCCATCCATCCATCCATCCATCCATCCATCCATCCATCCATCTATGTTTGTAGATAGATAGATGATAGACATGTACATACACATATAAACACTTTATTTATTTGTGCATTTTTAAACCCACAGTTTTATTCCATCCATGTTTATCTCATGCAAATAACTACCTAAATATCTTTAATTCATTTTGAAGTATTTTTCTAAAATAACTGAACAGTAAAATACACTTAGTATTAAAATTTACAACACAATTTGCAGTATAAACACTCATTATTTATTTAGGAAGTATCCCAAGTTATAGAACACTTCAGCAGAAAAATGAAATATTAGTAAAAAAATTCTGGTGGTTGTGTCATAGGCTTTCATGATCCACGTATGACACTGTCATGATGAGGCCATTATGACTCAGTGAGTTATTTTCCAATAAATTCAAAAAGTCACAAAGTATGAAAGAGATACAGCTTTGAAAAAAAAAGAAATTGTTTTGGTTTACTTATTTACACTCTTGCTATCATTGATATAAAATTTAAAAAACAAAAGGATTAGCCACCCCAACACCTTACTTGCTAGAACAGACTCTTCCAGGGGCTAACTAATTGCCTGTGTATTTTGTCTAGGTGTTGAGGGAAAGCTAAGAGAATGAAGGCTCTAACCCCCCAGTGGAAGCATGACATGGTGGACCAGAGCCGGTGCTGAAGTGCTCTCTCTGATGGCTCTATGGGAGTGGATAGCACTCAGTCTGCATTGCTGGGTTTTAGCGGTTGCTGCTGTCTCGGATCAGCATGCCACAAGCCCCTTCGACTGGCTCCTGTCTGATAAGGGACCCTTCCATCGCTCACAGGAATACACAGATTTTGTGGACAGAAGCCGCCAGGGATTTAGCACGAGATACAAGATATACAGGTACGAAGCAAAGGGAAAGTCATCACGGAGGTAACTTCCTTGAAAGCTGTGTATCAGTAAGTTGCTCTAAGGGAAAGTTTCAGGTGGGGAAGGGCTGTGATGGGCTGTTATTTACCATTCACTATAGTCAAGTTTTCGTGTGATTGAAACATGTTTTTTGTACATGCAATCCTACACGCACTTCCAGATCCTAGAATACTACAGTGCCTTCAAGTCAATGCCTAGTAACTTGGAGGCAGAGTTTATCATTTTCAATAGCCAAAATTTGAAAATGAATTTTCTTAAATGATGGTTCCTTTCTACTTTCTACTGTGCAATGCTACCTTTCTTCGCTTAAATGAAAATGATGTTTTCTAGTAGTCACTGAGAAGTTGAGTCAATTCATCTTTTTTTGTTTTTTACTTAGTAAGTAATTGTACATTCAGAAGCTGGAGGAAATGGCAGTGGGACAAACAGAAATAGCAAATAACTAGGACGTGAGAGCAAAGGCCGAGGAAGAAGAAGGGTTTGAGATATGTGGCCTTTAACTTTGACTGCTCTCCTATATTTAATTCTAAATAAGTTACCCAAAAGGAGCTGTTTATGAAGCCCCACAGATGGCCTGCTCCCTCAAGCCCAGTGAATCCATTCAATACAAGAGTGTACACGTGGTTGCCTGAACGGATTAGATTGTATTGATCGATGCCATAAAGAGTGTTTTATGAAAGTCTTCACTTTGGCTTGTGTCTTCATGATAGAAGCTTACAATTCCCAATGATTGGTTTAGCATTCATGGAGAAGCAAAACTTAGCTTGGTATTTTTGTCTGTGTCCATGTGGATACTGTGATATAAGTATTATATTTACATAGTATTATGTGCCCCAGAGGGCACCATGCTTCTGGTCGGTATGTAGTCTTCTCTAGAGCATCGTGTGGAATTGACAAACCCCATTAGGGATGCATGTTACAGAACAGACTGAGGGTATGGGACAGGTCCCTCAAAGCATCATACAATTGTCGACGTGTGTTTGTGTGTGTGTTTTAATAAGAAACCCCTTAACAGGCAGAGCGCTGTGACAAGTCTACAAAAATCACATTATAATTTATATATATATATATGATGATGTATATTAAAAAATTTCTTCCTGAAATGCAGCATGAAACAATCAACATATCAGGATTCCAGCTGTATTTTCAACTCACACGCATTCATTGGTTTTGCCAGCTTTCCTTCACAAATTGTGTGATGGTACTTGAGTTTCAGATCAGAAGCGTGCCTTACATTTCAGTGTTCTGCAGGATTGTGAACAGTCGCTCAAGCAAACTGATGCGGGGGGCATGTCTCCCTTATTTATTGATGTCTCTGCTGGGAGGTCACAGGTGTTGTCTTGTCTGTGATTGTTGGGTTTGGCTTATTGGTTGATCGGTTGTGACTTGCAGACCTGGCTTGGCATATTTTTAGAGGTTCTAGGCTGAATGAGAGAGGCGTTAGAATTATCTGGACCACCATAGTGAAAGGTAATGAAAAACGAAGCCTTGAGGTTTCTTTGCAAGGCTCGTGTATTCCCTTGAGAGTTCCTGGGACTCTTTTTAGAGACTTTCATTAGCCCTAGACTTCACATCCTTCCTCTGTCTTTAACTTTGTGGCTTGAATAAACATTTACGGAAATTATCTGTTTATAAACAATGGAACATGTCTCTGTCCCCTGCCCGGACCAGACTATAGCTTCTTATGTGACCTTTGAAACATTGCCTAATGATGCTGTGATCATTGATGGTTGCTATAAAATGGACAATATACTCATGAAGGTCCTGTTGCCCTGCCACAGTGAGATATTTCATTCATCCAACTAGTATTTCCCTAAATTTCAGTGATAATTTTATACCTTTCCATCAATATAATGGATCTAAGTTCTTTCTGGAAATGTGAACTTCATTTTTGACATATTAGCTTCAAATCTAAGCATTAGACTAGCTTCCTTTTTTGTTTGTTTGTTGTTGCTTTTGTCTTTAATATTTGTCTTCAAAACATAATTATGCGAGACTTTATTTTTCACAAATGCTTGCACTAAAGTACGGAATTGGTTATTATTTAAGAGACAAAGATGGAAAACCGGTATTTTTTTTTTCATTTTAACCACTAGATTTACCATTTGAAAAGACCACATAATTTCCAAAATTGATGGAAAAAACCCTACTAGCGCTTATTATTTGTGTCATGAGCTGTTTCATGCAGGGTATTGATTGCATTGACATAGTTTCTGAGAGGCATTAGTTATGAATGTAAAACATATTAAGCCTGTTAAAATAATTAGGTCGCATCTTTTTCAGTTGTCTTTCTTCATCTAGCTCCTTCTCCAGCACCTTAGATAAAGAACCGCAAGGTCATAACAATTGAAGATCATATGGCTAAGATCATAGTTAAGACTTAATGAAAACAAAATGCCATTTTTTTGACGTGGTACATTATTGTCAACTAACAAGCCTTATATTTGTATTTTTAAATTCATGTGTATGACGAAGTATTTTTTAGGTTTTATTCTGAAACTACTACATGATGACTTAAGAGCTGATTAAGCAGATCATTGAATTGGAGGACTTAGAATAAGCTTGAGAACACTTAACTGGTTATTTGGTTAAATATTAAAAGATAGGTTTTCAGCCATCTCTCAATCTTAGCTAAAGATTGAAAATAAAATAGAACCTATGCATAGGCATTTTAAGTAAGCGTTCTCAGTTTTTGAAAATGGGCTATGCCTGGAGAAATTGTGTCCACTGTAGAGCACAAGATAGGAGACTTGTGATTTTATTGGAGCCTTGAACAGTTATGTTCAAGCAATGCCCTTGGGCAGTATGCTCACCAACAAATGTATAATTTCTTCCAGACCATGAAAATCCCCATCCTTTTCATAAATTACAGAAGCTCAGGATGAGGGACTCTCAGTAACTCAAACTTAGACAGAGTTATCTCAAACCCCAGAGATGAATTTTAAGGTCATAGAGTGGTGAATTTTATTCCCCCAAAAAAGAAATTTTACATATGCAAATCTTCAGATATGGTGATATAAAATAAAAGTGTTTTTTTGTTTTGTTTTGTTTTTTTCTACCTAGACTTCCAACATTTTTGCTTATTTACATGTACCAGTGAATCATGGGGAAAATGATGATGCTTTCTTTTCTTATACTCTTTCATAATATAAAGCTATGTCATAGTACTGCTCCTTAACCTGCTCTCACAGAGCAATTATCAAAGCAAAATTTGAGTGAGAATAGGAGACAATTGAGATAAATGCTGTGCCTTATTGGCTTTGTAAATTATAAGTGCATTTATTCAACAACTCTGTTTAGTCACATCTCTAATTTTGGAATTTAATACATTTAAATTTTTATTTAATTTTAATCCACATTCGAATATTCATAAGAATTCATGCTTCAAATGTCCTTTAGTCGACATTGGAAAAATTTCAGGCATGGATAGAAATGTTAATTCAGGGGTTTAGGAATTATAATCAACTTTCAGAAAAGCCAGTTCTTAACAGGGATTGTGTATAATCTCATGATTATATATAAAAGACTTACATTGCAACAATTAATAGAATTTTTAAGTAAGAATTTTTACTCTAACAGTGCTATTTTTGTTTGTTGCTATTAAAATGGAAAAAAAAAGGAACAGAGCTGCTAGTCCACACAATTATTTACAGAAGAGAAAATAACAATTATGATTTTTTGGCATTCAAACAAACACTTTATTTGATTATTTTTATCTCTCTGGCTCCATCTCATCAAGCATTCTAATTCTTCACTGTCGTTATCCCTGTGGTCTTCTTCCAAATACAATTGCCAAAATTATCAGTATTATTTTCTTTTGTTATAACTATTCTGGGGCTTTTGAATTGCTAATATATATATATATATATATATATATATATATATATATAAAACAAAAATATATATCACAAAAAGCAAAATGTAAAATTAAAGGAAAAAAAAGCTAAATAGTAATAGTTCTTCATGGGTTTCCTTGGGCTTTCTTGAGTGTGTGTTTATTGTGTATATTTAAATGGACTTCTGTGAAATTAAACAGGAAAAGCCATTTGCATTATATTTCTTATTGTAAGGAAGAAAAGGTCCTGAAATTACATTTATTATATCTTTTGTGACTTAATATAAAATAATTAAACTAATTTCTATGTAATCACAATACTTAATTTTTTTCAACTTTTAAAATATGAGTCATAGGTTAAGATTAGGATATTATCTCTTATTTTGATAAGCATGTAATATGAATAATAGTAAAAGATTAGACCCTCACCCTAAAGTTGTAATTTCCAAAGTTAAAGCTGAAATTTATACTGAATATTTATATTTTGTAATGGAATTTATGTAGCACCTATTGAAGCATTCTTTTATTAAAGTGGGAACTTTAAAATTTTTTGAGATTACTTTTCCTGTAAATTTTTTATTTTTTCCCCGTTATTTTTAATTGGAGTCATAATTACATAATATGCTTTAGGATGTAGGAATTATCCAGTGCAATTCATTCAGTCTGGAGAAGACTCCTACATTAATTAATTAGTAATATTTATCCATGGAATTTGCCTGTCAGACTGAAGTGATTTATGATAATAAATATTCACCAAATGTTGGTTGGAAAAAATTACACAAAGGACGTTCATATAATTCTTAAGTTTCTTCTTATCTATTGCTCTGAACATTCTAGTAAACAAAGGCAGTATTAAAAGTATGCTATTTATGAAATCAACAAACTTAGGAATATATTCATAAACTTTTAAGTCTAAAAGCTAATAACCTTGATTATAGGCAAAGGAGAAAATCTTAATCTCTTTGGTTACTATGAAAGAAGCATTAAAGGTTCTCTGAATGGTTTTACTGATAGTCGAGGAACAGAAGTTTCCAGAATATTTGCAAGTAGTTCACTTATGTACAAGTTTATTGTTACGGTATCAATACCTCAAAACCTCAAAGTATATATATATATATATATATATATATATATATAT